GCTCCCTACAGCCCACCATCTCCAGACAACCAACGCCTCTCAAGCCCCCTTCCTCAACGCACCGATGTCATCCCATTTGTATCCAACCCTTCCCCAACTTTCAACACCGCACCGTACTAATGTGCCCTCGTGCTTGGGGCCACCAACCATCCCTGGCTGTGTACCGCGTTCCAAGTTCATGCACCCTGGGGCGCAACGCTCCCAACTTGAATAATGGTTCTCACAAAAATAAAGAGATGATTTTGTAGAGCAACCCAACACTCACCCAAGACCAATTTCGTTTTAAAAGCCTTAGGCGGCAGGCGAGACAAGAGGGCGAATCTGGACAATGGCACCAAGGCCCCCAATTAAATCCCTTCACAAGGGAGAAAACACTCTAGCCTAGTAAGGTCAACCGTATGAGAAACGTGGTTTTCAAATCTATAGCCCAGAAAATTTTCACGATGTTTTGGACTGACGTACGAAATGGAATATCGAAACATATAAAGCATTCGATGGCACATACAACAACATAGGTCTCGTTTAACACACCTTGAAGAAACCTAAACAGTATGTCTACCATCATTTCACTCCACCCTCATCTCAAATCCTTGCAAAAGTGTCAAGTGCGACACATAACGCATGTTTAAAAATCCAACACAACGAGACTAGTTTTACGCTTGCAATACATAAGGTAGCTCTGCAAAATACATTAAGTTAAGGGCTAAGGTTTTTTTTTTTTTTTTTTTTTTTCATTTTGACCTCTTTCAATACTTCTCATGGTGTATCGAGTGAGGCCGTATGCCATCACTTGCATGACCCTTAGTACCATTGCTTCGATAGTTTTATGCTACGGAATTCAAGTTCATGTTACCTAATACATGTTTCCATTTGATCAAACTTAGCCTCAGATCTTTTTATACCAAATAACCTAGATTTTAATGTTTTTTTTTTACTAAACTTCATACAATTGCAAATTTTGAAATTTACACTAACATTCAATATACATGAATATCACATTTTCTTATTGTTGTTGATATGAATTCGCACATATGAAACTTCAAATATAACAGAATAATATAAATTCTAAAAATTGAAAACAATCAATAAAGCCTAATAAAAATCATAGCACTCCTCAAAGCAACATAACTTTGCTTTTACTATGGGTAAGCATTCCATAAGTTAAAAATATACTAGTATTATTTTGTTTAAATATTAATCTACAAAAGCAGCAATCCAATACAAAAATAATAATAATAATTATACAAACGTATAAGTAAAACTAATAATTCTAATATTGCATTGAAACCAAGTCTACTAGTCGGCCTGCCTATGTCACCTTATTTGTCTAGGCTGCAAATCATATAAGGATTAATGAAGATAAAATAATAATAATAATAAATATTAAAAACAATCATGTTATGCATTGGACTACCAGCCGAGCCACTCAGGTCATCTTAATAATAATAATAAATATTAAAAACAATCATGTTATGCATTGGACTACCAGCCGAGCCACTCAGGTCATCTTATTTTCTCGAGCGACCTGGCCGTGCAAGACCTAGGGAAGATTTGGGTTGCGCACTGCAGATCCAGGACCAACAACCCTTGTGGGTTCTTTCCAGAAGGTTCGAAACGGGGAAGGTCTGAAATTGGGTTTGGACTTGCCTCTTTGAGGTGACCAAGATTTTGGGTTTTTATGAGATAAAACACAAAAGACAGTGACTATGACAACGTGGCTCACAAAAATTGATATGAATTCATCAATTCGCAAAAAAAAACCTGGACAGATCGTATTGTTAAAGATGGTCTTTCAGAGGAAGAGGTTTCCGGTTGATTTTTTCGTGAAAGTCGTGGGCAATTTCGCAATGAGAAAGGGTCCGATATGAGACGTGACTCCCAACCTGATTCGACGCTTCGCAGTCTGACTTGATGAGCGGTGTCGGGACAGAAACCCCTGTAAGGTTTTCTGCCCGTTTTTTTCAAGGTCAGACACTGCCCGACCCTTGCTTGGATTGAAAGACTTGATGAGATTGACGTTGCCAAAGTTATTCAGACCAACCCTATAACTGAAAGACGTAAAGCCTGACGTCAATAGCGTGTGACGTCATTGACATGTGACGTCGTTGACATGTGACGTCGCTGACTTGTGATGTCATCAACGTTCATTCGAGATAGTGGTAGTCGAACTACTTGCAGATGACATTCACACAAAAGTTAGAGAATTAGTGGAGTCATCATTAAACAACGACACTCTAACTCTGCTTGAGAATCGGGACACTCATATTCCTTGCGAGCAGCCAGTATAAAGGTGGAATGAAAGAACTTAGCAACACATCTCATCCAGTCGAAAAAGTCGTGACGGTCCAGCCATCTGGGCGGCAGAGTGAAGGTAGTTCAGCCAGACGTTATTCGAGCGTCGCTTTACGTAATGGTCATGCTTTGATATTTTGTTGATAAGCGTTGTTGGAGTCAAGTCGACTCTTGTCGGGTTAAAGAAGGGACTAGGATCGCTTGCAGTTTTCCTTACGCTTGGAATATCACGTCCTAGTTGACCGACGTTGGTTTGATTCCTGGGAGATCAGCGCCCCAGGGACGAGCGACGTTCAGGTCCACTTGGCGTTTAACCATGCGTACCTATGCTACAACGAACGAGCAAACGCCCTCGGTTGGCCTACCTCTGCAATTGCATTATAAAAACTTTCGCACGTGGGTCGGTAGCTCGGTAGGGATACACCCCTAAGGGTGGTGACAGCCCCTTAGGGAAGGTAAGTTGTGCCCCGCGAGAACCTATCCTTTCGTAGGGGACAGTGGGATGTACAGCTGGCGCACTCGGCCGGAGCGGCGAAGGGTCAACGTGGGTTACCATGTCCTATGTTGCACGTAGGCCGTGGCCTAGTTCGGCCATGGCCGAGGCCGCTGGCCTAGGCCGGGGCCCCCCCGGCCGCGACCGAACACGGCCGATAATTAAAAAAAAAAAAACGGGTTTCAAGTGGGGCGGGGGTCCCCCTACCTCCTCGCAAAAAAAAAAA